GGAATAGAATGTATGTATGCCTGCTTTCAACATTCCTATTCACATTGTGCTGGAGCAGCAATAAGAGATGAAAAGAAACAAAAGGCATCTAACTAGATAGGAAACTATTTTCAGATGACACAATAAGTTATTTATAAGATGGCAAGGAAATTTTAATGATAAGATGATGATGATGATGATAATAATAATAATAAATGAGTTTATAATAACATTAAAAATAAATGAAATATGTAGATGTAAATCTCAGAAATATGTGATACCAAACCATCTGTTAGCGAGTTTAACAGTAACAACAACAACAGACCCTAAATAACAAGTTCTGACAAGGCTGGTAAAAACTGAAATTCTCATACAATCCTCATAGGAATGCAACATGGGTCTGGCCACTTTGGAAAACAGTTTGTCAATTTCTGTTAAACATATGGGCATGCAACCCAGAAATCTTTACCTGGGATAGCTAATGTTTACCCAATAACATGGATACAAATGTTTATAACAACTGGAACCAACTGTCCTTCAGCTGGTGAATGAGTAAACACACTGTCACGTCCATGAAAAAGCACATGACCAATTGATGAATGGGATAAGTGACTGATGCACAGTACCACATGGATGAATCTCAGGGGCATTATACTACACACAAATTAAGTGCTATCTATCATATGATTCCACTAATACAACATTCTTAAAATGCAAATTATAAGGACAGAAAACATCAGTTGTTTTCAGGAATTGGGGAAGAAGTCAATTATAATAGAAAAGAAGATCTCTGTGGGGATGGAACTATTATAATCCAAATTGCAGTGGTAGTTATCCAAAGATATGCATTTGACAAAAGAGGATTAGTTTATGTATATCTTTTTTCAATAGAGTAGTTAAGTTGATTAAGATCCATAATTAGTAATAAAATAGGCATTTGAATCTAGATCTGACTCCAAAGCTTGTACTCATAACCACCATGATAGAGAGCAGCAAAAGAATGAGAGCAGCAAAGAGCTAATTCCCCAATCTTTCCCCTGCTAAGATGGCAATGGACACTGTATATGTTCCATGTGGTCTCATCACAGAGCAGTAGAGCCTGTGTCCCCCAGAGTTCCCACATGTCTATGTTAAACAGTGGCCCCATAAATATATACTGAATAAGTAGCTCGTAAGGAACATAAATTTGTATATTAAGTGACTAAGATTGTGGGTCAGTTTGTTATTACAGTATAACACATCCTATTCTGAATGGTATAACCACTATCCTGCACCTCCTGGTGGCTTCCTTTTCTAAGATCTGAGGATATGTGTAAGAGTTGTGGGTTATAACACCAGTCAGAAGAGGGGAGAAAGTTGTTAAGGACTTTGAATTCCTGATTTGGAAGTGTAGGCTGCATTGACTAGGTGATTGGGATGCCCTCACAGCTAGACATGCAGCATTCAGTCTTTGAGAGGCATGAAAGGGCAGTGGCTCAGTTGCAAAGCTGTGCTGACTGAGACTTGGCTTCTCCAGCTCTGTCCCGGAGCCATTTTCCTTGGTCTTGAAAAGCTAAATTCCTCACTGGCAATCTCTCCAAAGGCTGAGCCCTTTGGGCAACAAGAGCATCCGGAGCCTTCTTGTTTGAAACCTCCTGCACTTGTGGCCAATGTTTTCCTGTGCAGGTTGCACTGTTCTATGGAAAATGGGAAGCAGAAATTGTTGTGATAAGCCTGGAGCTGAGGAACCTCTGGGGAGCAGTCCTGGTGAGCTGGGTCACCTGGTTTCATGAGGGCCAGCCTTGGGGAAAGCTCCACAGGCTTAATCAAAGCCAGCAGGAGCCTGCTTGAAGGGAGAAGAGCAAAAGAGTGAAGGCAGCAAAGAACAGGCTAAGCCAAACCCACCTTCTTCTGCTAGAACCAACCTGGGGAGTTCTACAAACTCCAACCCATTCTCAGCCAATGAACATGAGAAAAGGGCAACACAAGAGGCATTGTGGGTAAAAGACCATGGGACACCAGGAAGGCAAGTGAGAGAGCCTGGGCAGAAAGGGAAAGAGGCTGACCCTGGGGGAGGCTCAGCTCTTCTTTGGGAAACTGTTTCTCAGGGTAGAGCTGACAGTTAACAACCAGGGTAAGCTCCTGGGGTGTGTGGGGTGTGGAACACAGGAATCCTAAATAAAAGTGTTCATGGAAGGAACACAGCAGCGTTTTAAAGCCAGCCACTGCCACCTTACCTGACAGGAGGGTCTTTTTTAACTGCACTGTGTGTGGGTCTCAGGTCCGTGCCTTCTCTATGTATCCCTGACTGTGGTAGCTGCTTTAAGGTGCTGCCTCTGGCTTCTGGGAGCTACCTGCCACATTCCATGCTTTGGGTGGAGCCAAATGGACCCAGTGAAATGCTGTCTTCATTTTTCATTGTTTTCATTCCATAGCCATGTGCTTTTGAGAGATTACTTTTGAGAGAAACTGACTGCTAGACCAGCAGAAATGATAGACATTGGTAAGAGGTCTGGATAAGACTTTGTACATTTGCACAGCACTTTGGAGTTCCATTTACTATGATTTAGATGTAATTCAAACGTGTCTCCCAAAGGTAATACACTAGAAGCTTGGTTCCCTGTGTGCTGGTGGTTGAGATGGTGGAACTCTTTAAGAGGTGGGGCCTAGTGAGAGATAATTAGGTCATTGGAGGGACTGCTTTGGGAAGGGATTAGTGTAGTTCTTGTAGGACCTTAGTTAGTTCCTGCAAAAATGGGTTGTTATAAAAAGAGTAAGTCTGACCCTTGAATCTCCCTGGCAGTCTCTCCATGTGATCTTTTCTGCATATGCTCTTGCTATGGTGCTATCAGCCATGACATCCTTATAATATCAGAAGTGAACAGATGGGGCCAATTGATCTTGCACTTTCAGTTTCCAAAATTGTGAGCTAAATAAACATTTCATTATACAGCAGTCTCAGGTTGGTAAAGCAATTGAAAATGACATAAGACAACATATCTTGTCTCATTTCTCCCCTAATTATCTATGATACCATTGAAATAAGAATTCTTATCCTCATATTACAGATGATGGGAAGGAGGCCCAATAAAAATTAAATGATTCACCCAAGTCACAGGCATAGACCTAGGTTTTGCCTATGGATTTTCAAACTAGTTGGGGTTTTCTTAGCTATCAACTTGGAGTTGAGTAGTATTCCACCCTGTTTTGTGTTACTATAACAGAATACCCAAGACTCATAATTGACAATATACACAAATTTATTGGCTCACAGTTCTGCAGTCTGGGAAGTCCAAGATCAAGGTGCTGGCATCTGGTGTATATGAGAGCCACATTTCTGCTTCTAAGATGGTTCCTTGAATGCTTAGTGTCCTTACATTGTAAAAGAAAAGGAAAGCATGAGACAAAAGGGGTCTGACTGTGTTAGCCCTTTATAATGGCAATGATCCTCCCCTGAAAGAAGAGCCCTCCCAGAGGCCTCATCTCCCAACACTACCACAAAGGCAATCAAATGCCAACATAAATTCTGGAGGGGGCAAAATTTCATACCATAGCAAAGGGCAGTGGGTAGAGAGGACTTCTGGACTCTCTCCACCACTTCAACCAGGGAAGTCTATTTTTTCCTGTCATACATGGAACATTAGTGAAATAGTTCTCTTGCTTTAAAAAAAAATGTTAAATAACCACAAAAGCCACGTGCAGTGGCGCATGCCTATACTCCTATGCTCAGGAAGCAGGAGGGTCTCAAGTTCAAAGCCAGTCTTAGCAATTTAGCAATACCCTGTCTCAAAAAAAAAAATGGTGGGGGCTTAGGATTGTGGTTCAGTGGTTAAGTGCCCCTGGGTTTAATTTCAGGTACAAAAAGAAAAAGTTTGCCGATCAATACTTCAATTTCTCAAATGAGTAAACATAGAACAAAGATGTAAAATCATGTGCCCAAGTTCATGCTGAATAGAATCAAGATGGGACCATAACCCATTCTTTGTTATCCAAAATATGTTTTGGAGCAAGAACTTTGCAATGTGACTTTACTCCTGTTTAAGCCCAGGCTTTAGGGTTCTTTCCTGCCAGCTTAAAATAGAATCTCAGAATTTAGGGCAGCAAGGAATTCAATCCTGGAAATAAGGTTTTACATTTCACTAATGACAACACTGAGTCCAGGGAGAAGTGGCTTTCCTCACATCACTCAGCAAGGTAGAAGCAATAACAGATTGACCCAGTGCCCTTGATCTCTAGGCTTCCGCTCCATTGAGTCCATTTCCTCCCAGTCCCTTTGACTGTCCTCCCCAGGTCACCCTCCAGGTTAGGTCCTCACTTACTACTTTGAGAGCTTATAGACTCTTTCCTCACTGATGTCAAATTACCTCCTCCCTTGACCCAGGAAAGCTCATCCCTCAGATCAGCAGAGCATCCTTTCCATTTCCTACCTATTGGCTCTGAGCAGTATGGTCTCCCCTCTCCATCCCTATCCCAGCACCTGGTCGAAAGTTACATATTTAAGACTATCTGCACTTGAGAGGAAAGAGATCATAAGCTGTTACAGAGGAGAAATGGGTGGGGATAGGGTGAAAGGGAGGGAGGGAGGGATCCTTCTGTCCAGTCCCTTAACTCTGGAAAACTGCCCATTAATTCCCCCTCAAGAGTCTTTAATGTCACCGTATTGTCAACAGAGGACTTGGAAGCGGCCTCCATGGAGCAGTCCCAGCTGAACCATGATGAGATAACAGTGGTGGGTCCATGTTCCGCTCCTGAATTAGACATGTCTGACTCAAAGACTATCCTGAGGGTCTTATTCAGCTCTGTGCACCCCACCCCCCACAACATAAGTACATAGCACATAGTACTCGGCACATAGTTCTAGGTATTTGCTTCATTTTAGCATAATTAATACTCTGTCACATTTTATTATATCTCATGTATTTTATTACTGTACTATTTGTTAATATACTTGTATTTATATATTCACCAAATATTATAATATGTAACTTATTATTAACCCTTTATAAATTAAAAAATCTAAAATGTGAAATGATTCCAAATTTGAAACTTTTTAAGTGCCAACAAGAAGAAAGTGGAAAATTCCATGCCATACAACTTCATTTCATGCACAAAAATCACTAAAATATTATATAATATTGCCTTAGGCTATGCATGTAAGGTACACATAAAACATAAATGAATTACATGATTATCTGGGTCCCAGTTCCAAGATACCTAATTATATAAATGCAAATATTACAAAATTTTAAAAAATCAGAACTAGGAAACACTTTGGGATAAGGGTTACTCAATCTGTATTATATTGTGTATTATAAAATGTTATTATAATTAATAATAATTGACTGATTAATAATTAATAAATCCCTGTATGCTTGGGCAGGACCATACTTCAAGGGAGATAAAGAAGGAAAACTAAATCCCAAATATACTTCTCAAATGCATTTCTTATAAGTTTCCAGCACTTTAAAGGCTTCTTAGAACTCTCATTCTCGTTGGTTTCAGTCTCCTGAATGAGTTTTTAAAACTGAAATGTATGAGGTCCTGACAAGCTGTAAAAGTACTTAATGGTTATCAACAGGATGCTGTTTCCTGGCCAAACCAAACAGATGCCTAGTCTGCCGGTTTGGGTTTAGCTGGGAACCTCATTCCTTGAGTTCTGCAAGCGTTCTAGAGTTGGGAAATGCCTACACATTCCAGGGTAGGGAGGATGAACCAGTGGAAGTTTCTGCCACTCACGTCACCCCTTTTATGAGTCTCAATTTACTCACCTGCACCAGGGTTGAGTAAGGAAGCTGGAATAATTATCCCTCACAACGGGCCTGTGAGAAACAATTAGAGAAACATCGCAAAGTGTTTGCATGAACAAACTCATATGAAAAACCACTTGAATGGGTCTCTGGGGAACAACAAACAGACTTTTACAAGTTCACAGTTACTTAGCTAAGATCAGGTGATGATATTTTATTTCAGGAAAAAGAAAACACCATGTGCTAGCAGAGTTGCTCACGCTTGGGCCGGGTGAGGACCATCTGGGGAGGAGGGCAACAGGGCCTGTCCTGGGTTGGCCCCAGCTCCAGGGAGGCTCATTCACCCTTTCCAGTCATACTCTGGCAGTGTCTTTATCAATGCCCAAGTTCCACCACTTCCTTTCCTGAACGGATGACATCCCTTTCAGTTTTAGTCTTCCTGAGTTTTCATCTTCTTACTTTAGTCTTCTTTTAGAAAATTATATCAGAGGAAAAATGTACTCCAAGAACTAAGTATTTAGCTTTGACATATGGCCGGCAGGAACGGATTAAAAGAATCTTCACCTTGCATTTTCCAGACTATTTCTTAGGAAAAAAGAGAGTCATTTATGCCAGTTGGCAAATGTACCTTTTCTCTCTACCTCCCTTCCTTCTTTTATTATTTTTTTTTTAAAGTGATTTCCAGGATTCTTAGCTCTGGAGATAAGAGAGTTCAGCCTATAGTTCTGTGAGGTGGACTAGATCAGAGGCTTTCAAATTTTTACTTGTTTTATTTTCTCATTCATGGAATTCTTTACTCAAAATCTTTCATAGTATCTCATTCTAGGGCACAGACAGAAGTGGAGCTACCCTGGCTGAAGGAGGTTGGAGGGCTCACTCACCCACACCCAATCCAAGGGCCCAGGCTGAGGAGGAGCAGGGTGGAGGCTGGCTCTGGTTCCTCCCAGTCCTGATAGTCTAGGTTAGTCACAGGCCATAGCCTGACTCCAATGTGGGTGCAATCCCAGCATCACCTTCTCTCTCTGTTGTCCCAGCATCCCTGATGGCCTTTCCTGTTCCACTGGGTGAAAATAGGATCCTTTGATTCTGTGTGGCGTTATGTAAGAACTGGGCCAGCCCACCCCCTGCTGGCACCGCTGTTGCCTTAGTCCTCAGCCTCCCTGTTTCTGAGGCTCTGACAGATGTGAAGGCTGCCCTGGACCTGGGAGAAGGCTGGGGTGGTGGTGTTGGTGGTGGGGAGGGTGGTGACCTCACAGGGGAGGAGATCAAAGGAGGCTGAGCTCATCTGACCCAGGGCCCTGGACAGCTGTGAGAACAGAGGGAGGGCCCGACTTCTCCAGGCGGGAAAGGAAGGAGGCTCCGGATCCTTCTCTGAGTTCCAGGTGGTACCTGCTTTCCCTCAGAGTCATTTTTATGGTGGGCAGTTGGAGGGGGAGAGAGAGGAGGGAAGGGTGGTGGGATTCCTGCTTGTTTTGTTTCTTTTAACTGATTCCTCCTCCTGTCCTTCTCTCCCACCTCCTCAGACTTTATAGGAATTTTGGGTTATTCAGCACGCCCTCTTTCCCGTCAGACTGTACTTCATTTCTCACATTCCACCCGGGGCCTGGGTTCACACAGCCAGCTGCCCCGGTTAACCTAGGTGAGATATTAAACTCCACCCGCCCCGGGAGTCACCCGTCATCAGCCCCCAGCCGCTGTGCTCTCCCTGGTGAAACTGAGGTGATAACAGTTCTCATGGTATTTTCAATTAAAAATTCCTGAAATGTTTCCAGCATCAGCCAGCCAGAGAGGAGGGTGATAGAGAACAAATGGTGACAAGGGGAGAAAGGAAGGGAGAGAGGGAGAGGGGAGGGGGAGGGGAGGGCAAGCCTGAGGAACCACAACCAGCTACAGAATGACCAGGACGCCCATGGACAAAACCAGAGATGCCAAGAGAAGATGACACCACGGGCACAGATCCAGCCACTCAGGGAGAAGGAAGAAGCTAAGAGAGAAGTAGGACCTGCCTGTGGAAAGAAAGAAAAGTGTCCCAAGTCCAAGGAGGACCACAAAGTTAGCTGGCACTTCTATGGCATTTGCTAGACAAGTTTAACATAATGTTCTTAATAATTCTTCTCTTATTACTATTTAGCATTGCCTTCTTTATCCTGAAGAGGGCATCCCCAAAACTGTACCTGAGGCCCCAGTGAGGGAGTGGCAGAGACCTAAACATTGGAAGAAGGAAGACTCTTTCATCCCAAAGTCTTTTGCTGGCTTTTTAACAACTGTGGAAGAACTGAGCCCAGCCCTGACCCCTAAGTCAGGTACTTGGCAAATTTGTTGAAACCGATGTGTTCACCCATCCTGTTGGGGAGGGCGATCCACAGGCAAAGATAAATAGGAGAGAGATGAGGAAGGGCTGTTATGTAACATTCCCAAAAACAACTTCAGGGAGCATGTGGAGGAGAAAATGAGAACCAGTCATTCCACAAGAACAAACCCCAAATCCCACAGGCACCCACTTCCACACGCAGCCACAGAGGAAACAAACAGATCAACAAGGACCACTGCCATCAGGAAGCTGCTGGGATTCTCTTGAGGAAAGAGCCACATAAATGGCTTCCTCTAAAGAGCATGAGGTCCAGCAGCTTCCTCTGCCAAATGTGATCCTCCTCCAGTTTCCTAGTCCAGCTTGGAGTGCCACTCTCCCTCCTGTGTGCCCTGTCAGAACTTCCTCCACTCACCTCTGTTATCACACATCGCCTCACATCCAGAGGCCACATCCTGTCTCCATCTCTTTGGAAATCACCCAGCTCAGGCCACCATCACCTCTCACCTTTCACCTGTGGTGTAGCAGTAGCTTCCTGCAGGTCCCCTGATCTGTTTGTACTCTTCTCATTCATTCTTTGCCCCATGGCCAGCATGATCTGAAAACGCAAACTTATTGTGGTATTTCTCTGCTTCGAGCCCATCTACAGCTTTTCATTACCTTGAACCAAGTCCAACAGATCGAACATGGGCATGGCACCCTCCGTCATTGATCTCTAGGTTTCTCTCCCTGAAACTCTCCCCTCGACTGCATAAGGACCACTTGTTCTTCTTTCTGTCCTACACATACACAGTTCCTTCCTGCCATAAAGATTTGGCACCTGTTACCTGTTTCGGGATCCCTCTTTCTGTGGCACAGAGGTTCTTCCTTAGGATAGGCTGAGGAAAGGAATATCAGAGAGACCAGTCTCTGGAGCTGCCAGAGCTAATATTTTTTTTCTATTTACATGACTCTGATCTTGTGAAATAACTCAGGAATTTCTGTACTATATGTATATTTACCTCCTTCCTAAGCTATGCTTGTTACAGAGAACCCCTCACCTCAAGTCCTGTCCCCACATCGACTGGAACTACATCTGTCTGACCCATTCAGTATGGAGGACCCTATTTTCATTTGGAATCTCTCTGATACCTTCTTTTTCTCCTTGGAAGATAAGGAAGTTTGTGTTAGCTCCTTTCTCCATGAGCATGATTTTCCTTCAGGCCAGAATATTCCTTCTTCTCTGGATACTTTATCTAACTGGATGCTTTTTTTTTTTTTTCTCTTTCACTTGTAAGTTCAAATTTCCTCAGAGAACTCATTCTCTCTCCCTCTTTTCTTCCATCTTTTCTTCTTTCCTCCCTTTTGTACATTCCTTACTGATTCTGTGCCAGGTCCTAGAGCAAATGTTGAGGTTATAATAATGAGTCAAAATGACATGTCTCTGCCCTGTCCTTAGGAGCTTGTAGTCTGTGCAGGGGCAGGGGAGCAGGCAGTAAGGCTGGTAAGCCTAAGAGTGCAACTGAGGTGAGTCCTGGGTATGGGACCTATACATGCTATAAAGAACCACAGCTAGAGAAGTCAGAAACAGCTGCGTTAGGCAACCAGGGAGACATATGTGCATTCCAGGCAGAAAAGCAGCCCGTGGAACAGTCACAAAGGACATTATAAAGCTGGAAAGAGTGCTGAGGCAGCCGGAGCAGAGAGAGGACAGGTGGGTTGCAGAATGAGTTTGGAGAGGGAGGGAAGGGCAGGATTCCCAGGACTTCGTAGGAATGCTCTGGAGTTTGTCTTGACTCTAAGAGCCAAGGGGAGGCATTGGAGCTTTAAGTGTGGGGTGGGAGTGAGGGTGATATAGGGCAGGTTAGAAGGGTAGAGAGGGGTAGAGAGTGGTCTCCCCAGCGCAGCGGCTGGAGTTGGATGAGAGTGGACATGGGAGGGGGTAGAGCAGTGCCCTAATCAAAAGATGGTGGTGCAAGTGGAGACAGCAGTGGTGAAAATGGAGAGGTGCAAACTTCAGGAGAAGGCTTAGAAGCAAAATCAAAGGGGTTTGGTGAGGACTATCAATAGAGGATGAAGAGTATGGTGACTCCCTGCCTTTGGGTGTCCACACTGGTGGGGGTGACCATGGGATGTTGTTCTCGAAGTGGACGAGACTGAAATGGGACCTGGTTTGGGAGGGCAGATGACAAGTTCTAATGTGTCCTTCTCCTCTCTAGACCAGGGCTCCATACCTAAGCCCATCCAGCACTCAGTACTGCTATAATTAATCATTATCTGGGTAGTTTTGCATCTAATATGTGAATTTCCTAAACAACTATTAGTTCCATGAGGGTGAAACTTGAATTCATCTTGTTCACCAGAAAATCTGCAAGGCTTGACTTGTTGGCATCCAGCAAACGTTTGTTGAATAAATTAGTGACCATCTGCCTCGCTCTGTCTGCCCATGGGAAATTACCATTTGAAACATTCACCATTTCTGTAACCTCCATGCATCCCCAAACAGAAACTTCTCATGCTGGAGTTGAAAAGCACTGGGCTTGGAGTCAAAAGATCTGGGTTGAAGTTCCACTAGTTATGTGCTGTGCTCACAAAATGTCTGCAGATGAGTCAGAAATATATCCCCCCCCCCATGTCAGGGCAACCCCAAAGCCAGCCCTGTCCCAATATAACCCAGCACACTGAGCCACAGCAAGTGTCATTTTGAAGGTGTTATCTCTAGCATGTGCAATAATGGCTTATTTCATCTCATTTCATTTTGTTTTTTATAATTTTTAATAGTGTGATCCTAGAGGGACCTCAGAGCAGACGGGGGATCTCGAGAAAAGGACTAGTTTTCCCCTAACAGTAGGTTTGCTTCAAAAGAAATTTCTCTAAAAGACATTCCTCTAAAAGACACTCACAGCTCATCAGTGCTTCTTTGGGAATAAGTCAGTGTCAGAGGGTTTAGGGTATAAGCTCTCAGTCACAGTGGGAAAGGGACGAGTGCCAACTCCAGCTTAGGACTCCTGTTCCCATCATGACCTGCTGTGTGATCAGGGACAAGCCACAATCCCCGCCAAACTGGACCTGAATCTGTGCATGCAAGAAATAAAAGCTTTGCACTAGTCTGATTCTTATTTCCAGGTATTGTTGTAGAGGCAGAAGAAATTGTAGCTTACAAAGTTAAAGCCAAGAAGGCCTTGAGCAGGTGGCATGAGGCTATTGACCTGTTCAGGGGACATTATGAGCCATAGGCTCAAATCTCCAGCTGTTCGATCTTCTGGGTCATTTATGTCCTTTCCTCCATAAGGTCTACCCTGAGTCTCAGCCTGTAGTAGACTCACCATTATTTCCCATCATGGCACACTATTTTTGAAAAATAACCTACATGAATTACCCAAGTTCAATCAAGTTTGTGAGATTGTGTTTGAAACATGTGTCTCTGCTCCTAGGCCTGAGTTCTATCAATCTGTTCTGTATGAATAGAACTTAGCACAGAGCCTCCCAGGCACAGCGGGGAGGGAGATCTGCTGAGTGAGTGGATGAGTAGATGGATGGGTGAGAGCCACAGTTGACAGCTTCAACACCCTCTTCAAGGGGCCACCTGCCTCCTGCTTTTTGATGTGATTGTTCCCTCTTCCCCAGAAATGAACTCCCACACCCAATCTTAGTGGAGGGATTTTTCCCTGTTTCCAGGAGAAAGACAGGGGTCTCTACTTCTTGCTTGCCAAACTTGGCTTTGGAATCTTTTCACTGATTACATGGCTGCTGTCCTGGTATTCTTTGCTTTTATGATTAAAATGATTAGAAATTAGCCTAGTCCTGAAGAGTACTTTGGAACATGAGTTACTACCCAGTTTCTGGAGTAAGTTTGCCAAGACTTCCCAAACTACCATGTTCCTGATGATGACAACAACTTTATTATTTTGTTCTTGCTATTCACTGGGTCTGTGCTGAGCATTTCCCAGACAATGTCATTCATCTTCCTAACCACCCTGTGATGTAGACACTATTCTTACCTTCGCTTCTCAAATGAGGGCACTGAGGCATAGAGAGGTCTTGCCCAAGGCCACACGCGCAGCAGAGGACTGAGGGGTTTGGATTTCAGCAGTCTTGAGTATGGAGACCTTGCTGGTAACCATCACCATTGGTTTCCTATTGTCTTGAGAGTGTGTTCCTTCGGTTAAGCTCTGCTCTAGCTGTGAGATTTCTATTCTAGGGTTCATATTGGGTCTCCAAGTAATGCCCAATTGCAAAGCAGGCGGGTGTGGAGAGGGCTGCTGTGTCCCGGGGAGAGGAAATATTTTGATTTTTGAGTGTAAATGGTGCATACAAGTTCTGCAAATTGTCCTCCAGGGGCTACAGGCTGTGCTTTCAGGAAATGCTCAAGTGTCCGTTCTGGACAGAATCAGCCCAGGGAGGAGGGGCAGGTGCCCAATTCCTGCCTGCCAAGTTCAGGCAGGCAGCCCAGGGTAGAGGTGACTTCCAGACCTTGGCTTCCGCGACAGAGGCCTGATGTTGGAGCTCTGATTCAGCAGAGGTAAACTCTCTTGTGCCATGGCATTTATCTTCATTTTAAACAATAAAGATAAAAACCAGAGTTTAGGAATTAAATCCCAAAGTATGTCAAACAGCAAACCACAGCACCTAGAGGATTGGTGAGTATTTTTCATGAAGCACCATCTTAAAGTAACAGAAACTTTAAACACTACTGAATTAGTGCTTTTAACCCTTTTTAAATTGCTTGGATTTAAATCAACTTTTAAACAAGCCTGGAACCAATATGCTTTGTTTCTCCTGTTTGTATCAATCTTACAGCTGTTGCTTTGCTAGGATTAATTTGTCTCTGAGGGGTTTCAACACTATCCTCCCTGGTGTATTTTCAGAGCCCATAATGTCATGTAATCGGGACCATGTTATTTTTGTCTGAATCTCTGGGAGTGATGTAAGAGGAAAAAGGAAACTAGCTAACTCCCAACCATTTGACCAAAGGTTAAATTAGTCTTGGCCTTTCCCCAGCTGGACAGAATGCTG